GAAGCCCTGTGGAACTGTTTGCCCTTGGCCTAGCGGCCTCGGGCAAACAGTTCCCCAGGGCTTCCCCCTACCTCGGGATGATAGTTTTGACTGTTCCCCAAATAGCCATGAAACAATTGTATACTGTGTGCACTTTTTGTGCATAAACCGCTTTGCCGATTTATGCAAACTGTGTGCACTTTTTGTGCATAAACCGCTTTGCCGATTTATGCAAACTGTGTGCACTTTTTGTGCATAAATCGCTTCGCGTATTTATGCAAACTGCACAGTTTTTTTCTGTATATACCGTATAACCCCAAACTTAATCAAGGTTATTCCTTAATTATAAGCTTAACCTATAGAGTTTATTATTCACATCATTTGGAAAACTGTCATTCAAACAACCTGTTAACAATAATGCAATCAAATATTGATTATATCATGTTGTGGGATTAAACTCGTCTTTTGTAGTTCAGATATACAGTAACCATCCCTAAGGCAAACATAGCTTAATGCTAATATTTCAAATATTTTGTCAATGTTGTATTTTCTTATTTGCAGATAATTATTTTTATACTTACAACTGCTGATTCCCAGTTTGTTTTTTCACTGTCTAATGAAACATAATAACATTTTGTAGATGTTGTTAGCCATCCGTCCTCACAGACCTCAAGCTCCTTGTCTGAAAATAGCGTAAATGATTAAATTCGACATCTACCAAAATCAATCAAAAACAGAACCATGCCACAAGAATCAAGGTAAACATAAAAATGTTTAAATGATGTCGAGATTTCTCTTGCTTTGTTTCACATAGATTGTCTCTGGAATATTGAAATATTTAGAAAAAAAACAACTCTTATAATCTTGATAACTTGGATGACTGATCCTACTAAGTTCTCAAACTAGGGGGAGATATGCTAGTAGTAAAATGCAGCCGTTTAATTCTTCATAAAAACTTAGGGGCTGGCAGCCATTCTACATTTTACATAACAGGAATATATTTGTTTTACGACTATTTCGTAGAGACATAGGTCATTTACATATCAGGGTTTGATGTTCATCTAGCCGATATCAAATGTAATCTACACCTGTTGTATATGAACATATGTTAGTATCTGATGAAACCAAAACTTGTCAATTTTTCTAAGCAATGAACATTTGCTAAAATATTCATTATTTATATTTAAATTTTGATAGAGTAGTTATTTAGAACAGTTCTTTGAACAGCATATTAAGTGTGGACAACAATGAAATTGATGACGTCACAATAGAGATTGATGACGTTACAACGGCAAATGCTGTTATAGTCTCATAACAACATTTGCCTTTTTAATGCATTTCAGTGGAAGGATGCATAGATAATGTAAATATAATGTTTTTAGGCACCATTCCCCTTATCGATGAGTTCTACATATGTTTCGGAATACTTTAGGCATGCATGTTTTGGTAAGACCAGACCAGAGCTGTGGAGAAACATTGTGTTATCATAGTTTACCGAAAAACGGACCTATTCGCTGAGTTAACCTGCAGGGAAAGAATAAGTATTCGAAATATTGATAAGGGAAAACCCAGTGTAACTTTTATGATGTGAATTACCCAGTATGATCTACATTAAAGTGTAATGCTCTCCTGTAAAAATGCCCTAGTCTCAAGCATGAATACTTAAAATAACAATACTGTAACTCATTCGTCAATTGATACAAAACGTTCGTTTGAGTACTTACTTATTTAGTTATAAAGAATGTGAAGTTATTCAAAACACAATTTAAACTACAAATCTGTCTGACAATGGATACTCAATGTAAAGTACAAACCAATTAACCAGAACTTGATACATTTGTGTATCATCTGAATGTTAAATCCAGAAATCGGAGTATTCCGAACGGAAATAAAACAGCATGTTTCCGTTAGTTTTGGGGTCAGACTTTACCATACCTTTGGTACTGTTATCATGTCCTTGTCTGCACGTGCTGCTGACCAATATCCTTATGTCTGCCTGCTCTTTCTGAAGAAGGCGTATTGCATTTTCAAATCCATCTTGTATCTTTCTAAACGCGTGAAGTTCTCTAGTAACCATTTGTCTGATTTCTGTGATTACCGTTTCGTTAGAGAATTTACGGGACAGCGAGTCGGAACGATTTACTGTGGACTCTAGCACATCAACTTTACTCTGCAAAGCACAAACATTGTCTTTAAGATCATAAAACGTTCCATTTAACAGAAACAGAATTCTGTCGGTCAAACCAATTTCATTATTCGGATCGAACTTGTTTTCTCCTGTCACAGCAACAATGTACTGTAAGACCAACCCCGTCAACATCCAGTATGGCTTCATCGTTTCTGCTCCGTTCTCTCTGCTGCTTTCTCCTTAAAGTAAGATGTGTGCTAGCACCTCGCCCTAGAACTATATAGTTTATAGTACACCAACGTACGTATGGAAGCTCATTGGTGCCATTTCGTTACAGTAGTTCGTAAGTTTGTTTCCGCGCTTTTTCGCCTCGAATCGGAAATGTTTTTCTGTGTTATACTGATTTTAATCGATATTCACAATGTTAATGATAAATAAATGATAAATTCCCCCATACGTTTATGCATAACCATACTTCATGAAATTTTTATACACTTTTTCGTTATTTTACTGGACAGATTTTAACGAAATGCGAATGCGTCGTTGTGCTATCTATCAATAAAAAACAAATAATTGACCACTTCAATCGTATATACCCTCCTGATCATATTAAAAACAAGAACACTAGACGTTGTACATTAGCTGTGTTTTATTCAATATGACCAATATGGACGGCTTCCTAATGTAAGCTGTGCAATAAGCGTGACGATTTAGCTGTTTTCATTCTTGAACTTTCTCTTTCTTTAAAGAAACATCCCGGCTTTCCCTTCGTACGTTGTGTACATGTTGCAGTTGATTCGGTGTTCAGGAGCTAAGTCTGAATATCACGATTTTAACGATAGATATTGTTTTGACAGATTCAAGGTTAGTGAAGACTATGGGCAAGTGTAATGGTCGCCATCCAGATCTCGTTGGGAAATATACCAGTCTCTTGTGCGAGATGATGGTTGATACATCGTAGTTTCGTTCCCGATTATCGTGTTGAGAATGTGACATCACTTGTACTTGACCTGGATTAACCCGTTCACCACTGTATACCATAATGGACTCATCCAGATGAATGTAAGGTAAAGTCTACTCAAGTTACCTAGGGGTGAAAGGATTAACATAGGCGGCAGCTGTCGATGAAGCAGAAGACACATACCCTTCTCTTAATGTTACCTTTTCCTATTTGATATATGATTGTCAATATCCTAATGTTCATAAGCTCAAATATAATTTCACGATGCTGGTAGGTGTGTGCTTTGCCAGTAACAGGGGTCAAGTATTTATTTCATGCAATTTGATATTGACATATGACATACTGTATACTGTACATGTATACCCGGAAGTTTCGCCCAATCAAACGTTCGCCCTTCGCCGGTAAACTTCAAGTTCACCCGGTTTCGGTTTTGGTTTTGCCCTTCACATTTAATTACTTTATCTAATATGTTGATTACTAATGATCGATAAAATGATAAATTTAAAAAGGTGAAAATAGACATCAGCGAACATTTCCCGGTATACAGTATACAGTATGTCAAGATATATCTACACTGTAATCCCTCCTCCCTAACTGCACCCTAAATTACCTGTGGAACCATCACCGTAAACACCAACCCACCTCAAACCCCGAATAGGTGTAACGGGCGGATTTGAAGCTGGTCAACAGCGAGGGTCCAGACGAGCCTTGAATACCTCCCGAGGATTGCAGAAATATTAATATAGGGTGGCTTTTCCATTAAGAAATACAAGTGTACGTGCTTTTTATCCTAATTATTTGTGAGAAATTGCAAACGGCCCGATAGTCAACAGGATCCAGTTGGGGGACCATACTGTTACAGGCACTACTATAAACTCTGTACAAAGATTCGTTAACAAGTGAAATAAATGTATTGTTTTCTAACTTGTCAGTAGAAAATTCGGGTTTTTTGGTGGACGTAAGTCAATTACTTTTAATCCCAGGATGTCAACACTTTTTTTATTCAGAACAATTAAGAATGAGCGTTATTTTACATACGATGCCAACTGCAAATTGCAAATACGAGGACCAACCTCATTATGTAGCATGTCACGAACCATTTACAGCAAAGCACTTGTTATTAGATTGCATTGACCTCCAGCCAACACAAGGATATATTTATAGTAATTTGGTTTGGTTTGGTTTGGTTTTATATTGTTAAACGTCCTATCAGCAGCTAGGTAAATCAAGGACTTGCCTCCGTGTGTGTTGTGTAAGCGTGCATGTGTGTATGTATGCCGGAGACTTGGTATGTTGGTGTACTTGCCTCCTGGTGATAGCGCGGATCCGATGCCGACTTTATAGTGCTATCACGCTAAAATACCATGCCGAAGGCATCCAGCACAGTATTCCACCCGGTCACATTATACTGACAACGGGTGAACAAGTTGCTGCCGTAACCCTTAATGCTGAACGTTAAGCAGGGAATAACAACTAGCATTTTTATAGACATTGGTACGTCCCAACATGGGGACGAAATCCATTGCCTTCCACACTTGGTCAAACGCTCAACATACAAAACAAAGGTGAGGTAATAACAAATCTCCAATCACTCTTCGAAACGGTAAATATCACAACAATTTTAACCTACCTGAAAATTGTTGGTCTGTAAAAAAAATTATAACTTACCATAGCCACTTTTGCTTTTCAAGTTGATATTTGTCTTCTTATCTTTTAGTTTGTTGGATGTCATTTCCTTTTACGTGTTTTATGTAACTTTATTGGCCCTAAAGACCTCTCTTTGTTGCTCTGAATTTGTTATGCTTATAATATTGTTTTATTTTTTATGAATTCTATCTGAAAGCTTGGTTGTAACATGTTCAAATCTTTCCTTAATGTTGGACGATTTAAATATCTCTTTACTGATTTGGAATTCGTGCATTGTAAACTCAAATGGTTGTTGTCAGATTTTCTGATATAATTTGGTACTAGTATATTACACTTCAGTATCTGAATGGAATTGAAAACAGTGTGAGAAAATATGCTAGTATTCAGAATGTATCAAACATATGTCAGTATCAGAGAACAATTGGACCAAAGATATTTAAGATTACTCTTTCAGAATGCAGAGTTCTTTGAAATTAGGAATATGACTACAGATAATTCCGCTGCATTACTAAGTTATTGGAATATGAAGTGTTTTTTTTAGGTTTAATCTCCTACGTTATAACAAGTAAATAAAAGTTGGAAAAACTGCCATTTGAAATTCTTTCAGCTATTTAAGGATTAACTTGAATAGATTTTTTATGTTATGGAGATATAACACAAAAAACGGAGTGTACTCTAAATAAATCGCGAAGCGGTTTATGATGTGAGTTCACTCCGGTCTTTTGTGTTGTAGCTCCATAACATAAAAAATATATTCAAGTTAATCTTTATAATTTAATCTACTATACACAATTTCATTTTATTGATGGACTCTTTTCTCTTAAAAATTGTTACGCCGCTGTATCAGCCAATCAAAAGCGACGTTACAAACGGCGACGTCATTTTTTACGTTATGGGCTGATTACATAATTTTTTAAGCCAATTAAAATGCTTGTTGCCAGCAAGATTAAATTATTCCTTCGTAACAAAGAGCCATGTACATATATGTTGTTTGTTTTGCACACTGAAACGTTATTCTGGTATGTTACCTGAACATTATGCAAATCTAATAAAAATAAAAATTAAGAAAGTTAACTTGGAAATCAGATATCTAAGTTTAGTTTAAACATATTTAGTGCCAAAATTATACAAGGGATTAGTCACAAGTTATAACAACTTATCAACGCCTTCTCCCAATATAAATTTTAAATGACATTACAATAATGAAATTAAATATATACAATTGTTGTTACAATTTGAACTAAAAATCTCTTGCTGGATTTAATAAAGTTTTGCACAGATCTAAAAATGTTTGAGTTGAGGTCCACGGAAAATTGTGAACTACCAAACAAAAGAATTTCTAAATTGAACGCAACATTCAAATTAATCAAATTTTGAACCAACAATACGTCTTTCGTTTGTAAAAAGGTGACATTCCATAAAATAGTGAAAGACATTCTCACAAGGATGACCACAATTACAAGATGCACTCTCAACAAGGTTAACTCTAAAAAGGTCATAATTAAGGGAACTGCACTGGTGTCGGAGCTTAGTATGCAAAATATTAAGTTTACGATTTCCGATTTTAAAGTAAATAGGTGGACTTGAGTGAATATTTGATGTTAAATAGGTTTTGAATGAATAAATAGAGGGTAGGGATCAAACCAATTTTCTGAGTTATTCCAATAGTGAAGAGTAGAAGGTAGAAAAGAAGAGTTAGTACGAGATAATCTGACAGGAGGAATCCTATAGTTATTATTGTTACGTAAAGCGTAACGATTATTTTCTCCAGATAAAGGCGGCAAAAGATGATTGAAGTAATCAGGAGTTAATTTATTATGCATCTTATACAATAGTTGAAGTTTCCTCCATTTTCTGCGATTAGATAAAGTTTCAAGACTAGTTTCGTAATATAAAGTATTAATAGGGGTATATGAAGTCCTAATATAATGCGAGCAGCTTACTTCATATACAGCGGGTGTCAACACAATACACTGCTGGACTGTCTGTCTAACTTTTCCGATTCAAAAATAGTGCAATCGTCCCACAATTCACAAGCATATTCTATAACAGGTAAAACAAAAGTCTTGTAAATTATTAAAATAACATGTCTACTTAATAAGTGTTTCAGTTTCCGTAAGACATTATTTTTTTCATAACGGAAGTGTAAATTCCATTAACATGATCCCCCCCCCCCCCCCCNNCACACACACACTTTGCATTCGAATTAAAAGTTACCCCTAAGTGTTTATGATAATCTGTAAGGTTTAAGACTTTCCCATCAAATTCTGAATCTAAGTCTTCTTCGATATCGATTGAATTCGAAATAAACAATACATCTGTTTTTTTCAGGATTAAAATTAACCAACCAGGTTTTTTACCAGGTATTTAAGATCTCTAGGTCTCTATTTAAAGTTTCTTGAATTTCCAGACAAGATGAAGATGACTTAAGTAATGATGTATCGTCTGCAAAAAGACGAGAGGTTGATTCAAAAATATCTGCTATGTCATTAATAAATAAAAGAAATAAAGGTGGGCCAAGAATAGAGCCTTGTGGAACCCCTGCCTCAATTTGACCTACAGAAGAATATGAACTGTTTAAAAATACCTTTTGGAGTCTCTGAGACAAAAAAAAATCAAACCGCATAAGCAATTCACCTGAAATTCCGTAC